GGACAGACGGACAGACAGACGGACAGGGCCAAATCAACTCAGCTCGTCGACCTGATCATGAATATATATACTTTCTGGGGTCTGCCACGCCTCCTTCTGCCTGTTACATACATTTCAACAAAACCATTATACCCTGATTTCCCATTGAAAATGGGTTCAGGGTATAAAAAACAAATTTAATTATCTTGACTAGTTCAAAAGTTATTAATTAATTTTTTTTTAATCGGGCTTTTGACCCATATTGCGCTGGCAACATATGTTAGAATGATCGTAGAAAAAGAAATTTGACAAGTTGTTATTTTATTCATATGTATAGTATACATTAGAAAAATATTTATTTTCGATAGTAAAGATATACAAAAATATTATTTAAAATGGGGAAGACACATATGGGTTGTTTTACCTTAAAAATAAAAATTAAATGCAACTTCTTAAATGGCTTGAAGACTTATCTAAATCTGATTGAGCTTTCCGCTTGTATTACAATTACCAGATTACTAGTCGATATTATTTAATTTTCAAATGAAACTATAAATAAATCCTAATAAGACGCAATACTCGAATATATCATTTAACTGAAACAATAAGTACAAGTGCTCAATTCAATATCCAGTGTAGAGTGATTTCAAATAATCTATAAGAAAACGCGAACTAAGGTCTTTTTAAAGGTAAACCTATAATATAACCTCATATATAATCGATATAATTTATAAAATAAGAAATACTACTGCATCATCTGCAGGTATCGATTCTCCTCCAGCAGAGAACTCAGAGATGTAGTCATATCGTTGATAACCAAATTTGTACTGGGATGCGGGTGCGTAGAGCTGCTAACGTCGGGCCATATGGGTTGATTGTTATTGTTGCCCACTGAGATACCACTGTTCGTCTCCATCCAGTTTTGACAGCTTTGTACATATTCCAGCGTACGCTGGTAAGTATCGGAAGGCATCGATGCCATGTTGCTGGTTTGTTGGCCCGTCAAGATTTTATGATGGGCTTCTCCGTTAATGGATTTCATTGCTCCTGGATTAACATTCTGAAATCCGACCTGACAATTGACGTCCGCATTCTCATTCCCATTGATATTTACTGTTGGCGACAACTGTGATTGACTGATGATTCCACATTGTATCTCGTTCTCGTTGTAAAGCTTCTGCTCGACTGGAATAACAGTAACATTTGTTACTTCCGGCAGACTGGTCATTGATGAATCGATTATCTGATTTTGATGTGATGTCATTTGTTGTGGCTGTTCATAGGGAAGCGCGCCGAGTGGAGACAGCAGCTGATTTCGAGGCTGAATCTCGGCTGAAACTGAAGCAAGGACTGTAGCTGGAGCTGGACCTGGAGCTGGCATATATGGATACTGCGAGGTGGATTCATTATTTGATCTTTGTGTACAGTAAACTGTATGTTGCCGACGATACGCATTGTTGTTCTCGCCGTCTGGTTCGTAGTTCCGCTGGGAGTATGGACTACCAAGCGCTGACATCGTATGTCCTGATTGGGGCGACATCACCTGTTGCATAACTGGCGATGGACAGTTGGCCACGTGTATGGGCGAATCGCGACCATTTGCTGCCAAAGGGATATATTGCGAATTGTTGGCAGATAAAGATTTGGTATTATCGTCTGTTATTGGTATCGCCTTAGGCTTCTCCGTTTCGTTCACCAAATTAAGATACTGAAGCATCTCATCAGGTAATATTAGGTCTTCAACCTCATCTAAATTAACTTTTTCATTGGGATGATGATTCCGGGAATTGCTCATAGTGGTCGTTTTTGTCCTGGTCTCGCAATCCGTATTGTCAGTTTTATTTGTGGTGCTGGAAGATCCACGATTTGTATTGCTATGGATGTTTTGAGGATTGATAGGGGGTGAGGTTGTCATTCGCTCTATGCTCAACTGGGCCATTATCGGCTCCGACTGACGTCTATGGTGATGGACACCATTTATTTCCTCCTCATAGAGATACTTTGAATTAAGCTGCGACAATTGTAAAGCGTTTGGTATAGAAAAGCGTCCGCCGCTTTGACAAACTGTTAATTGATTTTGAATTGGATTCGAATTGTGATTATAACAATTGCTATTCGTATTGTTCGTCTGCAAACACTGCAAATGTGTCGCAATCAGATGAGAGGATGGCGGAGGGGGCAAGCTGTTGCTGTTGCGAGATCCATTTGCCGCAATATACTGCTGACTTGCATAAATCGGTGCGGCATGTACGGATGGTGCACTATCGTTCATAACACTGGTTGGTATGTGAGGATGCTGCGCTGTAATAACATTCGACATTTGACTCGACCGACGAGAGCATCCCGGCGATATGGGATCATATAAGGATGGTGTGCCCGATGCCGTATTATATACTGGACAGGCTCTCATTGTTGACATCGATGATAGCTGCGAGGATTGGCTACTTCGCCGACTCGGCATGCTGCAGTAATATGTGCTAGCATTTGAATTTTGACTATCTCTGCGCTGCTGGGACTGCACCGTAGCTGCCGATTGAGTGTGGCACTGCTGAAGCAGCTGACCGTTGATCTGTCCCGCTGCTCGACTATGACCTTGTGTTGGCTGGCTGTGCATTTCAGTTAATTGCAGTCCTTTACAATTGCCCGTGGATGAAAGACCTGAGTGCATTGGCTGTTGAGTAACTGCTGTTGTACCCGGTTCCATCTTTAGCTCGGTGATACGTTGATTCAGTTCTTGTATGCCAATAGCCCGATGGGGATTATTACTCTCCGGTATGTTAGACAGCATAGAGTTACTCGAGTTGATGACCTTGGTTTGTAGACGACTACGAAAACGCTGGCGTGACAGATTGGCACATGGTGCCGCATTTCCATTTCCCATATTAACCATAGCACGGAGCACGATGGGAAGATCGACTGCATCCACATCATCGTCATAGGGCCAACATTCATCGAGTGTGGGCACCGAAGGGTTGCTCAAATCGTCCTGCCTGTACAATTGCATAAGGCAATCGGAGACCGAAGCTGTAGATGACCCCGCCTGCGCAGCCAATTGACCGGGTGAATTTGGATCAGACTCGGACTTTATGCTCGGGCTGGACACACTGATTGGCTTGCCACCATGAAAATCATCGCAGCAGGGACTAGAGTCAACATGCTGCTCTTGCAGTTGCTGGTGGTCCCGAAGTTGTTGATGTTGCTGATGCTGCTGATTACCATCTCGGCCATCTCTGTGTTTCTCCAGTCCTGAGTTAGCATCATGGAGAGGCAGGCCCTTATGTTTCTTATTCGCATAGAACTCGGCTCCATGCACGGTCTTTACATGCTTACGCAAAGAGCTGGGATCTGTATAACGCTTTGTGCAGCCAGGTGCCTTACATATATACGGTTTCTACAAATATATCAATTTATACATATTTATATATAAATATACATTAAACTATTAAAACTGAATCTTACCTCGTTGCTGTGAGTTCGGTTCTGATGCTTTGCACGATCGCTCGCATTGCTAAAAGCCTTACTGCAGCCCGGATACTCACAGGTATACGGCTTTTCACCTGTATGGGAACGTAAGTGGGTTTTCAAATTTTCTAAACGAGAGTACGCCTTATAGCATCCCTCAAACTGCAACATAAATTCGGATTATATTATATATGCAATTATGCAGCTAAAACACAAAAAGCAGATACACATATGTATACTTGGTAAGGCTCCAAAAAGTTAAGCATTTGTAACCAATATGATAAGAAGTTATTATTTTATATATTAGGAATATACTATATGCGTATCGCGAATCATGTTAAATTTAATAATATATGTATTAGTCGACAGCTACATTGTTGATAATGACTTCCACAGGCCACTTACCGTGCATTTGTGGGGCTTTTCCCCTGTATGGCGTCGCATGTGAACAACAAGCATGTATTGGGCCTTGAATGGTTTTTCACCACGAGAGCAATCAACCCAGCGACAGATGAATGCTTTCTTGTTGCTCTGAATATGATCATTATTAATGTGCTTAACAAGTTCGTCCTGGGTGATGAACTCAACGCTGCAGTTGCGCCAATGACAATTCGTCTCAATGAAGTCGCCCGGCTCATCCTTAATATCCGTTGTATCCACCGTAGCGCAGTCGTATTCGTTAAACTGATGATCTGGATTTTCTTCGTGGCTATGCGCCCGATGATCCCCGCATATTGTCTTGTTACGTTGGCGTCGCTCCAACAAATTTGCAGACGCGCTATCTGCCTCAACTTGAGCAACACTCTCTGACGTAGATGATGGTTGTTCAAGAAGCTTATTGCTACTATTGTTATTCTTGTTGCGATCCGTGCTTTCTTCATCATAATTCTTAAATAAGGGTTTAAGTTAATAAGTCTTTTTAATTTGAGTAATCGCTTTATAATCATATGGAAATCCTGAATCCAATGAAAATGAGAATCATATTGCAATGAGGTTGCATATATTTACAGACGAGGCAGATGGAGGAAACATGGAAACTATAATACATACATATATGTATATTATCTATCAGGGCGACGGGCTTCGCCACTTTACCTATGCCATTCTGTCTGTTGACAGTGATATCTTAGGTCATCAAAGCTAGATAATTCGAACTTAATACGCAGTATGACTTTTTCATTACTCGATTACCAAAACCATTTTTATACCTTAAAGCCATTAAAACTGAAACTAGATATTACTGGCAGAGGGAGGGGTGGCAGACTCCATAAAGTGTATATATTTTTGATCAGCAGTGTATAGCATATTTATTAAAAACGAATAAAAACAAGTAAGAACGTTGCAGTCGGGCGTTACCGACTGCGGAATACTCATTCACATCCCATCAACAATTTAGTAGTTAAGTTTCGCTCTAATACTGTAGAATATACAGCTTTTTCCGATTTGCCACGCCCATAGTGGGCGGATCGGGAAAATTTTAACACTTTATAAATCGGAGATATACACGAGTATGTGTTCCAAATTTCAAGTCTCTAGCTTCAATAGCGCCGAAATAGATTGCGTTCATACGGACAGACGGACAGCAAGGCGGACATTGCACAAAACCAATATACTGATTCACTTTCGTGAATGAGTATAAGAGCTATAGAGATGTTCTTTGTTAAATAATTTTTCTTTAGACTTGACATTATCTTCATGAAACTTTGAAAACGTGATCATAATTGTGTGCATATTCCAAAGCACACGTCTTTATTAATTGAATTAGCTTTTTACAAATTGGGGACGAAAGTCAGAGATAAGTTTATTCTAGCTTTGCGCATGTACTGCATTTCTGTGTTCATATGTATAAAAATGCTTAGAAAGAGCCAACAACTGTTCGTATTTCTTTTAACTGCCTTGGCAGAATAAATCAAATGCGCAATAAATGTTTGATGACGGACAAATTAACTCAGCTCGTCGTCCTGATCAATAGGCGTTCTCCCATATAATATTCATTGCTATCCAATTCAATTAGTATAAAAATTGACTTACATTTTACACCAATAAGTTCTAGCTTACCTTCATCGAAGTGATTGGCTTGGTTATGGATTCATCTACTGCTGGACTAATCACAGTCGAGGCTGGCGTTGTTGGCTGGCTGGCCAGATCCTTAGATTTCATGGAGACCTCGGTCAAGCCGAGAGCTGCGACATGGCTCATCGAATAGCTCGCAGCTGCAGCTGCTGCTGCTTGCTGTGGGGTCATTGGATGGAGAATTCCGGCACTAGCGCGTAGGAGATGGGCCTGCAGCTGTTGCAGATGAGGCGCATGAGTTATGGGGCTGATGGCACTGGCAGATAGATGGCCGTAAGAGCCGCTCGCAGCGCTACTCGCCCGCGACCCATTCATTACCATGGTGGCCAACGAATTGGGCGAGAAGCGTATCATTGAGTTGATATCGAATGAATCCGAGTATGGCGATGAGGAAAGTGCACGTTTACGACTAATACTGGCGCGCATACTACCACCGCCCGGTGGACGCGGACTACTCAAACGACCATTGCCATCCAAGCTAAAATGAAAATCTGTGCTGGCCAAAGAGCCCGCGGCTGCAGCTGCCGCTGCTGCGGCAACGGCCGCATGATGCAGCTCACTTAAGGAACCCATTCCTCTCGCACCTAAATACTCGCCGGAACCCAAGCCCAATCCGGCTAAGTGAAACGCCGGCGGGCAATTGGCATATGGATCTATTTTGTTTACAATCAATCAACTATATTAGCTTAATAACTTATCCACAAGCCAGATTACTTACCATGATAAGAGGCGGTGGGGCTACTTCTTTGTAGCGTATAGAACTGTTCCATGTAGCTAGGAATTCTATAGGCCGGATGAAAATCATGCTGCTGACTGGAGCTCTGAACATGATGGTGATGATGATGATGATGATGGCCGCCAGTGGCACCGCCGCCGAGAATTTGTCCATTCGCAGGCGGCGCTAAAGTGCATGTCGCGCTGGAATCCGCCAGCGTCGCAGGCATCCCAGGAGACACAGCAACTGGCACTGAGCTGCTGCTCACATCAGTTGTGGGCACTTGGTTACTGTGGTTGCTGCCAGGCGAGCTACTCGGTAGTACAGAAGCCGCTGCAGCTGCAGCAGCCGCCCGTCTTGATGCTAAAAACTGTAGCTCTGTGTATCTATAATTTTAAATATTAAATGCATATGTAAATGTAAATATGTATATCAAACTATTAGTGTAGCAAGTAAAAGAGCTCTAGAGGAGCCTGCTCGACTAGAAGATACCCTGAACCATGCCAACACCAGATAATATAATCATTCTATATTTTTTCTATACACACAAACATACACACGCATCCACACGCACGGATAAGAAGGTGCTCTGCTAATTAAACAGTGACTGCGCTTGGGCTGCGCTACAGTGTGGGCAATATTAAAAGAATGTATATATTTGTTGAATAGTTTCTCCTGTAGTGTTAATATCTTCATGGACTTTTAGAACGTAACCATAATGTTAAAATGTTTATTCTAAAGCAAAAGTCTCTGGTAAATACTTTTTTTTAAATTGAGGGGCGTCTTATCCAAAACCTGTAATTATAAAACCATCGTATTCTTGGAGTGTTTATACTCAATAAATTTTATATCTCTAGGTCTGACAGTATTCAAATTATTCACCTAAAAACCAAATCAATTTATCGGTTATTCTCGATAAAAAGGAAATGGGATAAGTTATGGAATACATATGATAAACTTGTGCTGCGTACACGAGTATGCATGCTCTTATATCTTCTGAGATCTCTGACGGACGGACAGACGAACATCGATTCAGCTCGACGCCCTAATCAAGAATTTATGTATGTATATAGGGGATATACACACCTTCAACGGAAGCTACCTAATTTGACAGAAAATTCATTGCTAAATAACTATTGTTTGAGGTAGGTACCGAATTTTATATTCTTATACTCATTCACGAAAGTGAATGTGAGTACATTGGTTTTGTGAGGGTCCGTCTTGATGTCCGTGTGTCTGTCCGTGGGAACGCAGTTTTTTTCGGCGCTATTGAAGCTAGGGACTTGAAATTTGGAATATATACTCGTGTATATATGCGATTTATAAACTGTTCAAATTGTGCCCAGAAATCATGTTATTTGAAAGAGCCGAAATTTGAAATGTAGAGTTTTAAAGCTAGAACGTTAAAATTAAAGTTGGACGTGACTTAATTTTATAATTCTATAAAGATTAATATAAATATTATATGTCTACCCGGGTTGACCATCCTAGTGCAAAAACTTTAGCGGATATATCTCTGCCCTCAGGGAGGCATGGTAAACCGCAAAAGTTTATTCTCCTACAGTTTAAGAGCTAGACGCTTCAATTAGTAATAGGATAGTTGAGTTACTGGTAACCTCCTATAACGCCGACCCACAAATTGTTACGCCTCTTTAGGGGTATGGCATATCGAAAAATACCCTGTAATTTTCACATTTTTTGTGCAACTAGGAGATACCCTGAACCCTCTAAGCTGGTATTCTACTCATTCTGCAATTCTTTTATGCACACATACATACACATGCATCCACAAGTAAGTATATCACGCGCTCTGCTGATTGCGAAGTTAGCAGCGACAGCGCTTGGGCTGCGCTGCAGGGTGGGCAATATTATGAGAATTTATTTGTTGAATAATTTAATTTCTAGACGTACAATCTTAATGAAACTTTCAGAACGTAATCATAATGTTCAAATGTATGTACATTCCAAAGCACAAGTCTCTAGCATTTGAAATGCGTTTTTTACAAATTGAGGGCGAAGGGGGCGTGGTATCCAAAATCTGTAAACGACAAAATCTGACGTCTCTATGTCTAAAAGTCTTCAAATTAGGCTGAAAACCCCAAATCAATTTTTCGATTATTCTCGATAAAAAGTTATCGGATGAGTTATCAAAAAATATGATAAACTTGTACTGCGTATGGTACACACGAGTATGCATGCCAAATTTCAGCTGTCTAGCTCTTATACCTTCTGAGATCGACGCACTCATACGGACGGACGGACGGACAGAAGAACAGGGCTATATTGACTCAGCTTGTCAGCCTGATCAAGAATATATATACTTTATGGGGTCTGCGATGACTCCTTCTGCCCGTTACATACTTTTTCACAAAACCATTATACCCAGATTTCCCATTTTCAATGGGTTCAGGGTATAAGATCTGCCACACAGGGCTGCATAACGGAAATGCAAACAAAGGTACCAACATCAAGCTCGGACTTGGACCTTAAGTCCTTTATTACTTCCATACTAAGGCGTAAATTAGCCAAGTTAAACTGTTTCACGCTCTCAAGATTTATTCTTAAATATTATTAGACTGCAGACATTTACATATATCTAAATATGCTTAAAGCCCATTAATTTGGATAGTTTTCTAGTCCATGTACATACATACATAAATACATATGTACATATGTGTATGGAATGAAAACAACTTTCGATTTTATAAGATTTAAAATAAGGATTTATGTAATTATTTTCAAATTTATTGAAATACTTACGCCAAGGGAAAGTATGTTGGTAATGTATACGCATCCATTTTAAATGTATGTGGTGGGCGATTCTGGCTTGGGATTAGATCTGTGAAACACTTATAGATGTTTTTTTTATTTACGGCATTTCTTCTTTTAAATGTTCACAATTGCCGTCGGCACTACACCAAGAGTTCAAAAATTAACGATCAATTGTGAGCTACGTACATGTGGATGGATGCATAATATACACACACATACACACGTAGACACGCGACAAATAGTCGTATATATACATGTGTAGTTATACATGCGAATCTAGATGCGAAGGTGCGCATGTGCACACTAAAAACGGATTTTAATACACACGCTCAGAGCGAGAGAGAGAATGAGAGGGAAAAAGAGAGAGCTAAGCGAGTGTAGGAAATACAATTGACAACAAGCTGGCAGCAACTTCATTAGAATTTCATTATTTTTAGCATTTTTTGTTTCTGTTGTCTATGTTTTCGTTGTTTCGAATGAGGATGAGCCTATATATATGCGAACAGATCCATAGGAATGTATGTATGTACAGATGTACTTATATGTACATATGTATGTGCACATATCTATATTGATATGCAGATGTATGTATGTATATGCATCATATATATCTCAATTGGGGTATTTAGTATACGATAACTATTTTCATTTTTTTTCTCTCTTTTGGATAAATTTGATGCACACATTCACACTCACACTAACACACGCACTAAGTATTGCTCACGGGCATAAATGAACCACTTAATTTGTACTAACTTTCCAGGCAGCAAACATAAATTAAGTGTGACAAAGTCAATAACGGGCGTGTACACGGCACGGCGTCTTACTGCCGTGTTTATTCCGAGCGGACTGAGCGGTTACAGCTCTTGCAATGCCTCGCTTGCTTTAGCTGGAGCAACGCACGCTGCTCACGCACACCTACATGCTAAAAACAACATACTTACGGCCACAGATTGAGACACAGATACACACACAGGCACATCGGTGCTGACAAATGCACACAGACAGCGAGAGAGAGACAGGCAGAGATAGGAAAGAAAGAGAGAGAGACAGACAGAGAGAGGAAAGAGAGAGAGAGAGAGAGAGAGACACGACGCCATAGAGACACAAGTGTATACAGCCACAGATCACGATCTGCTCTACGTCTGCCTCTGTTTGCTCAAAGCCCTAAGTTGAGAATAGGCGGGCAGTTTGAAGATGGCCATGTCGAATTTGGCACTCTCTCTTACGTTGGATGGACTCTCGCGACGTCAGTGTTGGCATATTATCCCTATTCAACAATTAGCGATACGTTTAACTGCCGATCATAAAGAACTATAAAGCTAGATCACAATGTAATTTAATTTGTTCATAGCTGTTCGTAGCTGAACTAGAGAGTAAATGAGCACGCTGGATCACGAATGAATTTCGCTGACTCTCGATTTGAATTAAAAATTAAAATTGTCAACTATAATGATTTATGGAAAATATCGAAACATTTCATTATTCAAGTCAACATAATAATAAAAATATTTCGAATTAAATAAACATATGTGAGTAGGTATACCAATAATTA